TTATAGGTGCACTGTCACCATGTCATGGATATATTGTTTTTGTGCCCTTTCTTCCTGTCAGTGCCAGATCCAATAGTAAACTTGCTTTTGGGATTCCTTTTCTAGATTGCATAATACCCCTGCCCTTCATATAGTCTGTTCTGGCTCTGGTCTGGTTGGAGATCAGTTGATCAGGTTCTGACTTTATCAGGGCTGCATTCTTTGGAAGGAGATGGCTGAGTTACCTGTGTTGGACCTGACTGCTTTTCACTATCATCAGTCACAGCCTGTCTCTGCAGGTGAGTCCCTACACAGACTGTACACCCACTTTCTGCTTGATGCTTACTTATTCTTTTCCCTGGAAAGGCGGCTTCTCTTCCTTCTTTTAAGGTCACCTAGACTTCTCGCTGTGGACTATTGGGGCATCCATCCAGTTTGTCTGGTAGGAGCGCTTGCCAGACAGGACACATGTTTTAATGGAATAAGAATGTTCTTGCCTCTGGATATTAGCTGTCAGGCTTATCTCTTCAAAGCCTCTTTACTGTTTGTCTTTTGTGCCTAATAGTGTGTATGTGTGTGTTGGGGGTATGTGTTTGTTGTAATTATTACTGAAAAGCAAAAAAGATACTTATCAAATGTTATAATCTACAGCAGTGCTACTGCTCTGGCAAGCAGAAAGAATAAATATATATTTAGACAGGATACCATTGATTTATCTTTCTTTTTTTCCATGTTGTTGCTGTTTTGTTGGCAGAACCATCTGATTTGTATACTGGTGCAGTTTGGATTTCAGTAGTCAGTGTGAAAAGATTCCCGGGCTGCTTGCCGAAGTGGAATGACTCGGATGAGTGGGCTTGGGGGCTGCCAGTCTAGGCTTTCCCTGCCATCCCAGGAGCCTGGCACACAGTGCCTTTGTTGGGCAGGTGGAGTTTGACCAGGCCTTCTCTTTGGCTCTGCCTTGGAGCAGCTCTGTTGGTGGCAGTGGGAGGCCTTTCTTTGTTGTGGGGAAAGAGAATTCTCTTTAATGCTGGTTTTGGCTCTTAAATAATCCTGTGGGGGTGAGAGGGAGGAAGGCCCCAGACTGGTGAGTTTAGGGGATGACAGGTTCAGGGTAGCACAGGCCTGCAGCTCCTCTAGAACTTTTGCCAAAGTTTTCTTTGCATCCCCTGTTTCCCTCCTTCCCTGTTGTTCCCCATCTAGTGTGCTATCAGTGGCATAGAAACTGGATTTTGATAGCCTTGAGTCAATGCTACAGTGTGGCATGGTAGCCTGTTCATGTTGATGGTGCTGCAGTTTCATGTCAGTAAAACTGTTTTGGTGGTGGTGTTTATAATTAGCTCAGTTGCTGTTTTCTTAAATGATATAGACAATACCTGATATATTCTGCTCCATACCCCACCCTCTCAGCCATGTAGTGTAGAATTACATAGACACATGTCAAGCCCCCTTCACCCTGCATGCTTCCCTGCCAGGTCCTTGGGGGTAAACAGCTTCAGTAGTTTCATGCATATCCCACAACTGTTTGTCAGCCTGGGTAGACACACACACACACACATACACACATACACACACACGTGATATTTTTTTTATAAGCCTAAATCCAATCACATATATTTTCCCACTATTTGATTTTTTTCACATAATGTATATATTATATATTAATGTATAATGTATATGTTGGAGATTTTTTATGCATGTAACTCTCCTCTGTTCTCTATTTTGTCTTTTATTTGTCTACAATTCATATGTATATCATAGTTAATGAATTGACTTCCTAGGAATGGACATTAAACTAATTCATGTTGCTATTATAGCTTTATACACACATATCTGAGTGCATGTGTTTCTCTAGGAGTAGAGTTCATTTAAAATGTTGCAGCAGTATCCATGCTGTGCTCTGCAGGACTGTACTGGTTTAAACTACCAAGAGTGTATGAGGTTACCCATTGATTGCCATTATACTCAGTGAAAGAAATAATCCCCTTCAGTAGCCATGTTAGTGATCACTGGTGAAGTTGTAGCACTCATTGTTAAGCCTCTGGAGCTTGGTGATGAGATTTCAGACCTGAGTGGGCAGGTCCATAGTAACTGTGGAACTGTTACAGGACCTTGGCTATGCTCAGCATGGTGTAAGCATCATGCTGCCATTAGCAGTGTGGCACCTAGAAACAAGTGCTGCTGGTTGCATGGTCTCTCCACTTTCCCTGGAGGTTAGGTACAGTAATAGGACTGTTAAATTTTGGTGTAATATGCCACAGTGCTCTGAACCTGTCCTGTGGGGACTTCAGGTTTAAGTATCAACTAAGACCAATCTGTCCTATACTGCTGAAGTAGGAATTTAGATGGGGATCTGAACTGGGAGAGGTTGTGTTAGAAAACCAGATGCTTTGGCTTCTGAGAAAGACTCTGGGAATGTGGTGAGGCAAGATTCCCTGTGGAGCAGGTCTTTCCTTCCAGCTGTGCAGTCCTCATTTCCCCCTACTCCTGGCTTGCTGTGGGAACATCCTGACAGTTTGCCCCTTATCTTGATGCTTTGGGAAGAAGTAGTGGTTTCTCAGAAGGCATTTGGGGACCTAACAGTGTCTGTAGAGGAAGCCTGCACAGATAGGCCTATTCTAGAGCCCTCCATGCAGGCCAAGTTGCCCAGTGTGTTTGGTGAAGCTTTGGCTTACAGGACAACAATATCATTCACCTGTCACCAAATGGGGATAAGAGAGGAGTGTGGTGGAGGCTACCTGGGTTGGAGAGGAGGCTCCAGAGTTTAGCTGTATTGGAACCCAGCTCCTACCCACCCCATATTGCTATGAGACTTGAGCAAAGTTATTTTATTTCTGTGGGCCTCAAGTCTCCTCACCTGGAATCTAGGAATACTACTAGTGCCTACCTCACAGGGTGATTGTGAGATTAGAGTAATGCTTATAAAGCTCTTGGCGTATTATCTAATTAGTACTCAGTAATTTTAAGTAACTACTTAAAATTAATTATGTTTATGTTCATTTTTCCTTTAAAAAAAAGTGTGTGTGTGTGTATTTTGTTGTTGTTGTTTTTGATGATACTGGGAATTGAACTCAGGGGTGTTTTAGCAGTGACTTACATCCCCAGACTTAAAAAAAAAAAAAAAAAAAATTTCTATTTGAGTCAGGGCCTCACTAAATTGCCCAATCTGACTTCAAACTTACAATCTCCCTGTGTCAGCCTCTCAGGTAGCTGGAATTATAGGCATGTGCCACCCAGCTAATAAATGATTTAAATGGATGACTATAGGTTATATTTTCTAAGTATAAAAATAGGCATAGTCAGGGTAACATTGAGGAGGGGAGGTCAGGAGATTACTAGCCACCTGGAGACAGATGAGGGTTGGAGTTATTAAAGGGGTGAAGGTGGGAGGTTAGGGAGCCTTTGGTGGGACAGGAGAGTAAGTTTGGATATCCCCTCACATACCACTCCTGGTGTGAACCTCCTCCTCAGTGCACACCAAGGCCCCAATGCAAAGGACTTGTCACTGTTTTTAGGTGGATTCTGTGCTGGGAGATGCTAGTAGGGTGTCTTCCCTTTGTTTGAAGCAACGGAGTGAGACCCTAAATGGGCAAGTGGCTGCCTCAAACCATAAGCTGTGGGACAGAGTGGAAGTGAATCCAGGTTTGGGACTCTAGGGAGTTGAGACTCCTTTTTCTTCCCAATGCTGCCACCCATTACCCATTTTCAGATGTGACAAAGGAGAGCCATAAGGTATTAGGTGTGCTATTTACTCCTCCTGAGGCTTTATGAAATGAGGTCACTTAAGTGCAGGGAGGGAAGTAGGTGATTGTCCAGCGTGAGACAGCTTTGGGATTCCGACTCGGGACTGCCTGTCTCCAACCACACTCATGTTCTTTTGCTTCAACAGGGCAGGCCTCAAGTCAATGTCCACAATTGGTTTCGTTCTCCTGGTCACCTGTATTCGCGCTGTTCTGAATGTGCATGCATGTATATGATGGCAAATTTATTTGAAGTTCTAATTTGTTTGCTTATGGTTTACCTAAATCAGCTTTTTGAGGTTTGCAAGTTGAATGTGGAGAAGGCTGTAGCTAAGGGTGGCAGAGGAACCCAGCATTTTGGGGACCAGATAGAGAAAAGACCTTGCTCTCAGGAGCTGAGTTTGGTAGCTGAACTTGTGGTCTGCGGGCCTGGGGGAAGTAGAGCACCCAGTAAGGCCGCAACAGAACCTGAACAGAATGTGTGACCTGTGGATAGGTCTGCGACATGAATCTGGATAATATATGTGAAGATTGACTATGCAAATGGGATAATAGTGGCCTGTGGTGTGAAAGGTATTTCAGTATAGTATGTGATAGGTGCTGAAAGTGCTGTCCTGAATGGCAGTCAGCAGAATGGAGACTTCACCTTGGCTGTGGAGGTCTGAAAAGGTTCTCAGAAGAAGTGTACATAAAAATGAACTTTAGGAGGTAGATTTGATTTAGCCTTTAATCCATGCTGCACTTTAGCAGATAAGGATACCAAGACCCCAGAGGTGAGGTACTGTTCTCTAGTTACTTGCTCGTCGAGAGCCAAGCCTGGATTCTGCCCCTGTCCCACCACACAATTCCTATGTGTTTAGTTCTGGTATGGCACTCAACACCTGGTTGGAGTTCAGTATTAAGTATCAAGTGAAAGAACCAGGTCTCAATTCAGTTCTTGACCTGGCTCTTCTGTGGGTGCAGTTAGAACATTAGCCTCTCCATTTTGCCCTATGTAGGTTGAGTGTTGCTTCCCTGCCTTCCTTCTAAGCTTATCTTTATTTGCCCAGAATTCATTCAGCCATTATTTCCTGAGCATCTACCAGGTGACAGTTACCATTCATGTGCTGGGAATTCTGTACTGAGTGAAAGAAGCCAAAATCCTATTTTTGTGGAGCCTGTATTCTGGTGAGGGTGATGGACACTGAGTAATCACAATACATGATATGTATATAAGTTTCCTCCAGCTGCTATAAAAAGTACCAGAAACAATGGCTCCAACAACAGAAATTTATTCTACCACAGTTCTAGAGGTTGAGGGAGATCTCTTCCATGCTTCTGTCTTGGCTTCTGTGGTTACTGGCACCCATGCTGTACCAGTCAGTGGCAACAGCTCTTGTTTCTGCCTCTGCCCTCACATAACATTACATGGGGTTCCTCCACATCTGTGTATTACGGTTTTCCAGAGATACAGAACTAATAGGAGATTACTGCAACAATATGACCTTGTTGTACTGGGGTTCTCCAGAGAAGCAGAACCAATTGAGGTATGCAAATATATAGAGAGATTAAGTATGTTGGCCCACATGATTGTGGTGGCTGAGAAGCAACAAGAGCTGCAGTTAGCAAGTTGCCGACATAGCAGTGCTAATGGTATAAGTTCCAATCCATGTCCAAAGGCCTGAAATTGGGAGAGGAAATGGTGTAAGTTCTAGTCTGAAATCTGGCAGGCTTAAGATCCTAGAAAAGCCAATTTTTCAGTTCAAATCCAAAGGCAGGAGATGACCAATGTACAAGCTCAAGCAGTCAGTTAATAGGGTTCCTTCTTACCTAGCCTGTTGTTTCTGTTCATATCTTTATTTGATTGATGAGGCAGTTGGGAAGGCAATCTACTTAAGTCTACGAATTCAGATAGCCACGTCATCCAGAAACATCCTCACAAACACAGAATAATGTTTGGCCAAATATCTGGGCACTCATAGGCTAGTCAAATTGACATAAAATTCATCACACTCAACAAACTGTGTTTGCACAGACCCTGTTTCCAAGTAGGGCCCCATTCTAAAGTTCCAGGTAGGTGTGAGTGTTTTGGACACTCAACCCCAGTTGGTGTATGAGAGGGTGTGATTGCTGGAGAGCAGTGCGAGTGCCTGAGCAGAGGGGAGGTGGGTTGCTGAAGGGTGGCCAGGGAAGCCCCTGGGAGAAGGCTGTGTTTGGTTTCAGTCTGGAGGTGGGAGCTGGTGTATGGAGGAAGAAGAACAGCAAATGCAGAGGCCTGGGACCTCCAGATGGCTTAGGGACAGTGCAGTGGAAGTGCAGTATGGATGTGCTGTGGGGAGGCCATGAGGATATAAGGTCCAAGAGGTTGGGGTTATAGGAGGGGACTGAAGATCAAGGAGGTCTTTGCCTGTGTTTGTTTGCTCTAGAGGGATGGGAGCCACTCTTTTGGCTGTGAACACACATAAAGGCAGGATAGAGTGTGGATCAGCTCATAGTAACTGTTTCTATGTTTATAAAAATGGTTGGTACTCTGTTGACCCTTGATCCACACTTACTGCCCTTGTTCTTTCTGGATGCCTTTTTACTCCTCTCCTCACACATAAACCAGATGCATGAAAAGTGTGAACAGAGGTTAGACAGGCTGCAAGGTGGAGGGCTGCCTGGGGTGTCTTGTGGACACCCTGCCATGAGCTGCAGAGCCTCACTACCAGTGGTGGTGGTGGTGGTGGCTGCGCTCTTTTTCCTCCAGCCCCAGGCTTGCCTGTTGAACACAGTGCTTATGGTTCATGTGCTCATCACTCTGGGCAGATTTAGAAAATGCTGAGGTCAGTGTGTAAGCTCAGTGTGTTCTGCTTCCAGTATACTTCTGTGTGTAAAGTCACTGAGCTGTGGAAAGAGTTGAGTCAGCTTCCTTGGTCAGTGGGCCACATTTAGCCTTGAATATACAGGGCAGGGAGTAGAGGCCACAAGGACATGAGGGGAAAGGTAGTGAAGTGTGGTACATGGGCCTGGGACCCTCTCCACCACCCACTTTGTAACTGGCCTCCAGAGTCTCCACACTTTGTTCTTGGTTGTTCTGGAAACACTTCAGCCTGCTAACAGACATTATCAAGAAGGAACTCCAGATGGAGGCTTGCCCTCAGTGTACCTAGTTTAGGGACTGAAGTTGCTGGGTCAGTTTGATTGCTGAGGGAATCATAACTTCAGATTCCTTGGCCTAGAGCTGAAAGGAAATTGCCTTATCTGTTTGATATGGAATTTCCTCTTTGAGCCTCCAAAGGAAAGGGCCTGGAGCTGTGTGATGAAGGCTCAAAGGAATTGGGCCAAAGGTGGGCCTGCTTTTCCACCTCCTGAGAACTGAGTGCCAGGAACAGCCCACGTTGGGAGGTTATTGGGTGGCATTGTCACTGTGGCCCCTCTGGAGAGCATAGATTTAGAAGATAATCATGTGTAAGCAGAGATGGAAATAGAATTGCCCTGTGCCAGGAGCAGCTGCTCTTCTGTAGTATTTTGGGAGTTGCCTTTGGGTCTTTTTCCTTCTCTCCCCCAAGCAAAATACCCATACAAAGCTGAAGTTGTGAAGGCTATTCCTAGCTAGAGGGGAACATTACAGATTCATTCTGTGAGAGAGTGATTCCTTCTGCAGAGTTATTTTTGGGGTGCTTCCCCTAACACATTAAAAGAGCTTCCGTGGAGGAACTGCATTTAGATTGCACAGCCTTTCGCTGCCAGAGCTGCTCGGGAAGTTCTGACACGGGTGACATCCATCAAAATCTATGGGGTCTTGCTTTGTTTTTTTGTTACAAAATTAGAACAGAGAGGCCTTGCCCAAGAGTAGGGGCCAGATGAAGCTACAGGTATTCCCACAAAACAGCTTCTTCATCCTCTGCCCAGGGGTGGCTTTTGTCTCTGTAGGTGTGTCCCAAGCACTTAGTATATGAATACTTGTTGACAGGCAAGATCATATTGGATGTGGGCCCTGACATCTTTGTTGGGCTCTGAGCTGTGATTTAGCTTCTAGTCTTCAAATTGGGGATGGAATGTTAAATTATGGCCTCATCATTGCTGCCTTGGGGGAAGTCACTTGGCTCTCTGGGCCTCAAATTATCTCCTCATTAACCTGGAGGTGGAAGAATGGATGGAATGAGTAACTCCTTTCTTTGTCTTTCCCACCCACTCTGGGCAGCCCCTTTGCTCTGGCTCTCTGGTCAGTGGGAACTTTTTGAAGACAGGGCAGAGGGAAGCATGAACTCTTTTGTTTTAGGCAGCTTGACACAAGCTCATGGCCTTCAGCTACAGTGCTTCTTGATGGGCTTCTTCCTATTTGGCCAGACGTCCAGAGTTCTTTATGGGTAAAAGATGATGGGGAAAAGAGGAGCAGGTGCAGAGGATTAGGCTAAATCTCCACTCCAACCCTGGAGGCTGGTGTCTCCAGTTGCTCAACGTGATCTCCTTGTTCTTAGGTTTCACATAACTTTCTATCCTTGCCTTGAACAAAGGCCCTTTATTTCTAAATGTTTTTATGAGCATTGTTTTTGCAATTACAAGTAAGACAGAAAAGAATGGATCCTGATTATAAGATTGTATGTACATTAGGGTCTAAATTTGTTAAAAATATCTACATAGGAAAAAACACTACAAAAATTATATTTGGTTATCCCTCGATTTGGTATTTTAGGAAATTGTATCTATATTTTTTGGCATTTTCTAGATTGAACATGTATTTTCTTTATAGTAAAAATGATTAAAATTACTGTTAATAACAAATAGCTACTTATTGGAATTTAGTATGTGCCTGACACCATAAGAATGTATCATTACAGTCTTATTTAATCTTGTTATTAATGGGTGAGATAATTTTTAAAAATACAAATGTTAACTAATTTTTGTTATCATGGAAAATATACACAACATAAAACTTAACCTTCTAACCATTTTCAAATGTACAGCTCAGTGGCATTAAGCACATATGCTGTAAGATACTGTTTAAAAATTCCTTATTTTATAAATGAACTGAGATTTAGAAAAATAAGTTCCTTGCTGCATTGGCATCCGGTCATTGTGACAAAATACCTGTGATAAATCAACTTAAGAGGAGGAAAGTTTTTTTAGCTCATGGTTTTGGAGATTTCAGTTCATGGTCCACTGGTCCTGTGCCTTTGGGCCTGTGATGAGGCAGTCCATCATGGTGGGAGGATGTGGTGGAACAACTGGAAAGTAAAAAGATAAGCAGGGTCTTTGGTCTCAGTACCTCCTTCAAGGGCATGCCCCAATGCCCTAATTTCCTTCACTTGGCCACATCTCTAATGATTTCACCGCCTCCCAACAGTGCTAAGGACTGGGACCCAAACCTGCAACACACAAGCCTTTGGGACACATTCAGGATTCAAGCTATAACACGAGCCTGAGTTCACAGAGCTAGTAAGTTCCAGAGACTGGATTTGGATGCAAGAGAGATACTCAGAAGAAGGATCTCTAGGCTGTCTGGTTTGTGGCTGTTGGAATCCATGATTTTTTCCTTCCCCTGCTTGCCACTGAGCATAGAAAGACACTCATTGATATGTGTCTCCCTTGAAACTTCTAGGGGTTGAGTTTTGTGTATCTGTCAGGGATGTGCGGCTGACAGGTGCCACCTGTTGATGGATACCAAGGTTAATGCTTTGTGTGCTTCTGTCTTTGTGAAGAAGGTTGAAGTGCGTGGGCTGCTGTGCTGGGAAGGGTATGTGCTAGAAGGTGTCCTGAGTGGGTAGAGAGCAGTGGCTTAGAGCTCAGATACATGACTTGGTCGGGTCTGGGTGCGCCGTGCTGGGTAATTCTGGAGAATGAGCCTTTAACTTGGAGTTAGGAGGTCTGTGCTTCAGTCTTTATTTTACCGGGTGATAGATGTGCTTTGGACTCAATTTCCTCATGTCTAAGAGGGTGATGAAAGTGCCTCTTGTGCTTGCCTCCTGTGATGGTGGTGATGATTAAATGTCCTTATGTTGGGGAAGACTGCTAAGTAAATGACAGGGCATTCAAGGAAGTTTTTGTGATGGGAGTTTTTAGTGTGTAATGGAGATGGGGTTGTCTGGGGCTGACCCCAGAGATCTAAGAAGGGTGGATTTGGATGTGAAGAGTGGCAGTTTGTTTTGCTGTCAGCTTGCTTCTTCTGCTGTTGTGTGGCTGGTGACGTAGTGTCCACTGTCTACCTAGTGTTGTTCTACTTAGTACCGAATGCTCTGAACTTTACTGAAATTTGTCTGAGCCAAATTCCTTGGATTTACTCTGCCCATGACTCACATTTCCCTTACCGAAACAAACTTTGATTTAGATCATTTTTGTAGCTCCACAGTGGTTGAACGCATACAGTGACTTTCCCTGGCCTTGTCTGTCTGCTTTGTCTTTACAGCGAATACCTGTCTGCTCTTTTCTCAAATCTCAAGTATCTAAGCATGTGAGTGGGTCGGAAGAAGCTCAACTTCTTATTGGACCCATTTTGTGCAAGACGCTGTAGAACATTAAGATAATGAACTGTCAAAGACAACTACGCTCCCCGTTTCATAGGGAAGATGTGCAGTTTTGAGGATTAGGAATAGGTAACTATAGTCCTTGGTCCACATGGATAGAGGTGCATGTTGGGAATAGTCAGAGTTGAGCTCTTAGCAAGACCTCTGTGACTTTTTGCTTTTTAACAAAGGTTAAAATCAGCTATCCTCAAGTGGAGTTTCTGTCTAGCTAACCTGAGACAGTTTTCAAGTCATTGCTGTTGCAGGGCATGGTTCAACTAACAGGAAGGCTGGGGTCTGTGCAGGGCTCTGCTGAAGTAAACATCTGTCTCACTCTCCCCTAGTTTTTGGCTTTGAGAATGGTACTCGAAGACTAATTAGGTCACAGATATCTATTTTGAACTGATTGAGGCTAGGCTGCATGGACATTTAATTTCCGGATCAAATTCTGATGGCCTGGTTTGCCCAGGGGTTTGGCCGCAAGCACCCTCTGGTTGGCAGTAGTGTATTTATAAAGTGTGAAGAGTCAGGTGAACAGACACTCCAGTTCTGTAGGCATCCAGGGCAGCAGTAGCCGAGAGGCATTAACCCTGCAGGAAGTGGGAGTGTAGTTTTTCCACTCTGCTTTCCTGAGTTTTCTTAAAGTTGTTGATCCTCATTAATTGCATGAAACCATTTCCTTTTAAGGAATCAAGTTTAGTGTTTATCTAACATTAGTTTGTCTCTGCTATAAGTCAGAGTTGTTGATTTACTGTGTGCTGAGCCTTTTGTGCCGTTTTTTCTACCTTACAGAGGAAGAAACCGAGGATCAAAGTGGTGAGTGTCAATAGCAGGACCTGAGATTGGAACCTGTGCTTCTGAACAGTTTGGCCTTTGCACCATAGCCTGGGGAACAGAAGACATCTTGTCTGGAAATGGGGAGCTCAGCTGAGTTCCTTGGCCTTCCTCTCTGGAGAGGCCTGCTGTGGGTGTTGGGGACACAAGACCCCCAGGGGCAGGGGCAGATGAACCTCTGTGTGGAACTGAAGTCATATTTTAGTCTGTCACTCTGGAGTGACTGGATTACAAAATTCTCAGTTTTCACTCTTTGTTGGATTTTCTCCTGTTTCACTGTTTTTCTCTCTGTTATGCCCAAGACCCTGGGTGGGTGCAGGTAGGTGGTGAGACCCCATGAGACCACAAAGGTGGTGACAGCATCAAATAGCCACCTCCTGTGTGCATAGCTGTTGACCTGAGCATTCCCCCTCTTCCACTTTCCCTACACTTTTGAGGAGTAAATAGGAGTCTATGGAATCTGCATGTGCTTAGTCCTCCACAGCTTTCCCCCATGCTGACAGGAATGCTGCTGCTTAAGGTTATTATATTTGTTGATGTGCCTGAGTCTTGGGTAGTTTGCAAGTATCCTCTCATCTAGTACTCCCCGAGAGCCACCACCATCCCCATTTTACAGACAGGGATTTTTAATGGAAGCCACGGACGTGACACTCTTCAGTAGCATAATTTTGTTCATGTTATAGTTTCCCCTGGAAGTTTTCTGAAAAACATCTGATAAGGTGTTTGTTTAAGTCGGCTTGTGGAGAGGGTGAAAGAACGCCTCTTCAGAGTTGTCTGCCGCCTATGGGGTTCTTTGTCAGGAGTGTCTGGACCCATCCTGGGTCCTCTCTAAGCATTTCCTAACTGTGAGCCAGGCATGGCTACTTAACCTTGCTGAGTCTGTATTCCATAAAGTGCAGATAGTAATAATATCCAAAAGAGGCTGTGGTAAGATATAAATGAGAGAGCGTATGTAAGATCACCCAGGGCTTAATTAATGGGTTACTATTTGTCATTTAGTTTTTTAGTCATCATGACTTGGAAAAAGCACAGATCTCAATACTAAAGTTGAGGCCTGAGAAACTCCCTATTCCTAGGATCAAAGGCAACTGACCTTCCCTGCAAACCTTCGCCCAAAACAAGAAGGAGGATGAAGCATAAAGAACCCTTAGTTCAGGTAGAATCTTTCTGAGCCTTCCCATTCGTTTTGGTCTGGGGGGGTTGCTGCTCTAAACAAATCCATGTTAACCACATGGCTTCTCAGAAATGCCTGGGCCAGTGGTTTAAAAATGAATTTCCAAAACAGGATTTTGGAAATAGAGGTATTCTAATTGTGCATATTGGATACATCTCGCCTTCAGTGCATGCAGCTTCACTGATTATATAGCTGTCTTGAGGTAACTTTTTCTGCTTGAGGTGACTTTTAAAGGTTCCCTGGCCTCACCTCTCAAAGACCCCCACTCAAGCATCTAATAGATTCAGACTCAACCACCCAATGAGAATTCTTTATCCCCCTGATTTCCCTCCTTAGTTAAAGTTTGAGTTAGAGAAGTATGGGGGAAGTTCTGTAAGAGCCAGGAGAGGGACCTGTGAGTTTGACCATTAGGGATTCCAGTTTTGTGTATGTTTGCTGTGTGATCTTGAGCAATTCTCTTTACTTTAGGCATTGAGGAACTTGCAGTCTATGGGGGATGTTGGCTTGCAGATGTGCTTGTGCAAATATTGTTGTGAGTACAGACGATTATTCTTTTCTTCAGAGGTTTAGTCTTGGCATGGTGGTGGTGGTAATGGTGGCTTTTAAGTCATAATGCATTATGAACTAGAAATTTGCAAACCAAGTTTTCTACTGCTAATGGGATTGCAATAGGATTAAGGACTGGGCTTCCCAGTGGGAGATGTTTCTCCTTTGTCTCCCAGATTTACACCACCTGGGGTAGTTTATTTCAGTTATGTGCATATCATCCACCTGCCTAGCTTGATAGCAAGCTCTGCAGTGGCAGGAACTTGGCCTGTCCCTGTTGTATCTTAGGCATCTTGTATCAGACTTCTATGTAGAATACAACTGACATCTACTTGAACGATTTGGGATCACTTTACATGGCAGAAAGAAGGCAGATTAGATTGTCTTGGCAGCTGCAGCTATTTATTTCACAGAATTGCCTTTCAGCCTTTGAGCGGGCGGAGGTGGTGGTGGTGGGTGTACTGGAAGTCCCTTGGGGCCAGGGATGCTGACTGTGCTCATCTTGCCTACTGCTGCCACATAGCCAGACTTGTCTCCCTTCCCTGCACCAAGTCCACAGCCTTTCCATTGAGAAACATGGAACCCATCTGTCTTTCTTTACCATTCCCTTTGTCCTTAGCCCAGTACTAAGTACTCAGCTGCTTGGTTGTTCTATTGAGAACTCATTATTGTTTCCTGTACAGACTTAGAAGAACAGTCAGAACCATGTTAAGGACCATTTGCAGAATACGCTTCTCACAAGGAAATGCGAGTGTGGTCTTGCCCTTGCATTATGGATGAGGAAAGCAAATTTACAAAATACCACCCCCAAATTGTGTCAATTTGGACTTTAAACTGAGGATACTGTAGAAATAGCAAAGGCAGAGAGGGGCTTTCTCTGAACTTGCCTTATCTGCCTGAAGACAGATCAACCAAAAGGAACTCAAATTTTATGAATCCCCTCCCCTTGGGTCTCAGCAACCAGGGAAGATTAAACTTATATCACAGGAGAGGAGACCCACAGAAAGGGAACTGGAGAGTGACACCATGCCTAGGCATTCATCTTTCCTAGAAATTATTGGCTCTAAGTTGCCTGCATCTTCCTATGAAGAGGGAATATAAGCTTCTATATCTTCCTGGGTTTTCAAGTATGTACTATTCTTTCTTTTTAAAAAAATATCTATTTTTTAGT